GTACAGGAGACAGCCACAGCACTCACCCATGCTCCATTCAGCTCTTGCTAGAGTGGAAATGACTGGCTTTCCCTGCACCTTGGGTGGTTTACGCTCCCAGGAAAGGGCTGGGTTGACTCTCCTGAAGTCAGGAGTACCTTGAGTAGTGACCTGAATGGTAGCAGACACAAGTAACGAGAGGAAGAAGAGAAAGATAGAAAGGAAGCAAAGCCACAGTCACAGCACTGAGGAAGGAAGGAACCTGCATTCAGGTGTCTCCAATGCAGTGGGGAGCAACAGGATAGGGTGACTGAGGTGTGGAGCGGACTTTTTCCTTATTTGAGATGGCCCTGGTGTTCCAGATAGGCCTAAAGTGTCCTAAAATTTGAATAATGCTTTCACGCACCTCTTTACAGTTCCTTCCTTGCAAGGCACACCTCCTCGTCTTGTCTGCCTTGGTGAAATAGCTGACCTGAAATTTCATGTCTTCTCAACAAGTTGTAAGTTTTGAGCAAAGGAAGAAGACAGCCCTGAAGGTGAATATTTTGTCAAGACAGAAGCATCTACAAAAAGACTGTTGGAAGGCAATCCTTAAGTTACCTAAATTCTTATTAATCACTCTAACTGATTACTGAGCATTTGAATGGCTTTACAGTCTCTTCATAGTTGCTGTGATACACCTATCAGATGTATCGATGCAGGAAGCACGCTTTAATTGTTAACTTAAAATTTCCTAGCTGAAATCAGAACGACCAACATTGAATTCAGTTGCACCTGTTAGAGAGCCCTGATCACTTGTATCTCAAAAAAGGCTCGAACAGGCTCATCAAAACCACATGCTGGTTCTCTACGCTGAGCTGGATTAAGCCATTCAAAGTCAGACTTGCCTGCGGACAAACTTGTACCTAATAGGTCATTTAACACTGAGCTGTATGGACCTATACAAAGCCCCTGATGACATTATGATTTTATATCATGTATGAGAGAAACCATCAGCACACTTCTGGGTTTGCAGGAAGAAAGAGTCAAGACTTTTTTTTGTAAAAAGTGGTTGATTTGTTGCTTTCCTTATCAGAAACTCTTTTAAACATAAGAAGCTGATAGGAGTTAGGCCAGGCTGAAAAAAAAAAAAAATCTCTGTGTGTAGGTTGTCTCCAGTTATTTGAATGTGTTTGAAATCCCACTGAGACGAGTGGAAAGACTCCCTGTAACTTTGGATGGGAAACTCCAATCAATTTGGGAGCAGAAATAGAAGTGTGTGAATTATTTCATGGTGGTGTGAAAAATGTATCTTGCATAAGCAACTAATTCCTACTTTAAAAACAAAGGAACATGATAGCATCAGTATCAGTAAACTGTCATTATAAAGCCTATTTTTCAGACAGTCTGGAAGAGGAAGCAGCAGAGTTGGGAGATAGCTGGGGGAGAGGGCTGTTCATCAGCAGGTTTTCAGATCTCAGAACTGAACTTTTTTTTAAATGAGATTCTAGCTTGCCTGATTAATGCCAGATGATATAAAAATACTTAGGCCCACATGCCGCATTTGGCTTGGGAAGTGTACGCTGTTTTGATTAGAAAATCAGATAGTAAACCTTATGAGAAGCATAGAAAGCCTGTTCTAAAAATGTCTCTCTTGCAGGTTTAAGAACATAATAAGAACACAAAAATGAGCATATTACTGCTGATGCCCTGCAGACATCATAGAAGTTTAAACTATAAAGCATCTCCATTTAAGCTGGAGAGCTAAACATAGATTCTAGCCTGCTAAAATTTGTAATGGTACCAAGACCATGGGAAATGGTTGAGTATGAAGACAGCTGCCCCCGACAGGCAGAGGAAAATCCCACCTTCTCAGTAAAGTGGGAACCAGCAGCTGTAGGGCCAGGTAATGGATGATGTTTGCTGGACAGGCATGCTTATATATATATATTTATGATTTTTTTAATTACTGGAGCTGTCAGTAAAAGTTTGAAAACACTGGAGCTTCCTTTGCAGTACTGGGTAACTCCACATACTTGCCGTAGGAACAGGGATTTCAGGTAGAAGTTGTATTACAGGATCCCATTTCATGTTCAAGGTTCAAAATGAATGGGACAAATTGTTAGAAGAAGAGCTTCAGAGGTATCATCATGGGTTGAAAAATTATCCTACACTTGGAGCCTCCAACACCTCAGTCAGTAAGAGAGTTAAGGAATGAAGCTGATCTCTGTCTAGTACCACATCTGGGGGATAAATCTCAGAGAACAGGGCTCTCACTACAACAAGCAAAGATATATCTAGGCGGAAATTAAGCAAGGGGAACTCAGGCAACAAATAAGGCCTTATTTGAGTGGGGCAATGAACTGCTGAAGCATCTTGCCTATGACTGTGGTACTACAGTCTCTGTTGCTAATCACAAGGCAGTTTTCTTAAAGAAAAGCTGTACTTGCTCACAGAGGGCTTAATTTTGGGAGCTGCTGTGGGTGGTCGTATCCATTTTCAGGGTACCACCACTTGCAGAAACTTCCATATGTGGATGGAAGAGATCTCTTGTGGCCCCCCAAAAGCCTGAGTCATTTAAAGGAGGTGCCACTGGGTGACAGGAACCCGAGTCACTCGTTTCTCCTCCTTAGGTGCCTGCTCCCTCCTGGCGGGGACGGACTCTGCTCCTGGCTGGTTCAGGGAGGCAGGCTCGACATCGTGCGAAGCACATGTTGCTGCTGCAGGTGCTTCTGGCTGCATCAGCCCTTTGCTGTAGATGTGAGTCGCAGGGGCTTGGGAGACTGGGGCTGGTCACTGCTGTCACGACAGTGCTGTTTCTCTGCTTCCCCTTGTAGGTGGAGCTGCACAAATCCTCAGGCAGCCAAAACCTTCCACGAGCAGAGCCGTGCAAATGACTGCGCGGATCAGCTGCCATTTTTCTGGGTCAGACTTTCTGAATACCTTCATCCACTGCTACGAACACAAACCCAGAGAAGCACCAAAGCACATTCTGTACGTGCAATCAGGGGTTCCTTATTTTTATGAAAACTCTTACAGAGATATTTTTGGGGCCAAAAAGGTGAGGACAGAGTCCATCTGTACTCTGACAATAAATAAAATCACAAAGCAGCAAGAGGCTACCTATTATTGTGGCTCCTGGGGCTGCACAGCCTTAGAAAACCATCAGGCAGCTGCCAGAGGAATCTCCTCTGTGCTCCCAAGGGCTGGAAAACTCACCTGACTCCAGGGTCCTGCTTGGCAGGCTGGGCTTGCCTGCAGGAACTCTTTAGGGTGACAAGTTGTGAAAAATAGCATACAAGTGCTGCTTGCCTGCTTTAGATGACTAACCTGGAAGGAAAGGCAGAAGGGAGTTGCACTACCTGTGAAAGATCAAATCAAAGTTTAACCCTGCGTCTCTCCTTGCCGGGTGCAGCCCAGCACTCTGCCTCCAGCAGCAGGCAACAGCACGTTCCTAGAGGAGACCAAATGAACAAACACACAGCAGCAATTTCCCAGAAATGCTTCCTGATCTCAGTGATATAGGGCAGCAATTTTGCCTGCTTTCGAGGGGCATCTCTGCTCTTCCATCCTCTGGTAGCCGATGTACCTTAAAAATCCAGATATGAAGAACTGACTTTAAAAGCTAGCACATCGTAATCATATGTTGAAAAAAAAAAAAGTGACTCTTTAGTCATTATCCAAACAAATTCCCTGCAGAAAAATAAATAATAAAAAAAAAATGTTTGCCTCAGTAGTGAGATCTCTTCTTACAAGGCTGGTTTTTTGGTTTTGGTTTGGTTTGGGTTTTTTGTTTGCCTTCTATTTAAGTGTTAGTCAAAGGAAATGGCTTGTGCATCATTATTTAACACATCCACAGCTGGCACAGCCTCCTTGGATGGTTTTCTGCTGCTCAGATCTGCTTCACCCCTGCTTGAGTCTGGCCCTGACCCTGTCCCTGTAAGGAAGCCATAAGGAGGGCAGTGACAATGTGGCTGCTGAGTGCTTTCATCCTGGCAGCTGTTTTTTCTTGTATGTGCCCTGCGCACCCCGCTGCCTGCATGTCCGCCAGTGGCAAAGTGGACCCTCTCTTATCTCAGCTTCATGCCTCTAATTTTTCTCTTTCTTTCACACAGGCAGTTCTGCACAAGTCTTGCAGCAAACCCCCATATCCATCACCAAGCCAGAAAGCAAAACGGTGCTAATCAACTGTCACGTCTCCGATACTGATTTTGATAATGTTTTCATTCACTGGTACCAACAGAGGCCCAGTGCAGCTCCCAAGCGCATTGCCTACATGTCCTCCAGGGTCTTCCTCGAAAACAAGTCCGATGAGGGGAAGTTTAGCATTGAGAAGGACGCTGCCAAATCTGTCTGCACCCTGACAGTGAGCAAAGTAACTCTGCAAGACTCTGCTACCTACTACTGTGCTAGGTGGGATGCACAGCAGTAGAAAGCCATAGGGGACCCGCACAAAGATGTGCTCTGCTTTCTGAACCAGATTCTGAAGTGTTTGATAACACGCAGGAACATCCCCACCCTACTTTCCCTATCAGCCCTGAATCAGACACAATGTACAGGCAGCCAGATGCCAAAGACGCTGCTGAGCTAGTGCAGGCTTTGCAGACACACACACTACAGCCAGCACCAGCAGAGCTGTTACTTCACTTTACCAACTAAAAGGGTGTTTTTATAGGTCTGGCTGGATTGCCTCCGGGTGGGTTTACAGGACAGCAGGGTGGGCTAGCTAAAAGAAGAAAAAACCCTTTCTATTCCTACTACCCTTCAGGCTACATCTTTGGAATAAATCCCCAGTTACATCATTTGTGTGGCAGAATAGAAGGATATAAGTGAAAATAAACTTGAAGCACCGCTCAGGGCTGCAGATGTAATATACCCATTTTGTACTTCTCTGCTGGTAAAGAATCTTGTTTTAATTTCTCTTTGTTTTCCATTTGGAGTTGATCAGACCTTCATTTAGGTTAAAGCACAAGTCTCTTAATTGACTCCAGTGAGGCTTCTCATCCAACACTGCAGCAAACATGCAAAACAAACAGCAGCTATACAACACATATTTATATTTCTGTTTTGCAAACAGAAAGACATTAATTTAAGTTATTTCACCCCTTTTCTCTTTATGACCAAATAACTGATAGATAAAGTCACAGGACCACAAAGGACCTAGTATTACCAGTCTCCAGTATGGGGTGTCCAGAGCACATTAAGCACTGGGGTAGCGGTTGCATTTCACAGAAGAGTGAAAGATCGAATTCCTGTCACAACTGTAGGACAGCAGTTACTGGATCTACATGAAAATCCTTGAAAAAAGAAAAAAAAGGCTGACATAAGTAAAATAACATTACGACAACAGAGAAAGGGGAATTGGTTTTCTTTCCAAGGGAACCAGCAGCGACCTTGCCTCTGAAGAATGACTTTGAATTGCACAGAATATTTTCTATATTTTGTTTGCCCTAATGATCTTTAGTTCAAACTAAGCCGATGGGGGCTGTAAAGCATTTGTGTTTCTTTGCATAATACCCAGCATTTGGAGATGCCACCCTGGGGTATAGCACCTCACCTTACCTGTGACAAGAAGTAGTCACAAGCGCAGCAAGACTACTTCTGAGCTCCCAAATAGCTGCTGTGTATTTTCCTGGTCTTTGGCATTCAACCTGTGTGATGAGCAGTAATTTGAGACCCCTCAAATTCATTAAGCTCCATATTCTTTTTTTTTTCCTTTTATTGTCACTGGAACTCAGGTAAAGTGTAGGACCCCATGCATTGTTTAGCAGCTTTCAACTAGTCTAAAAGCAGTGGCAAATTTGCTTCAGACTACAAAATTACTTTGTAAACTAGTTAAAGTAATTGTGTGGGTGTGCATGAGAGAGAAAGAAGGTGAGTTTGTGCCACTTTTGAAAAAGCTATAATGTGACTATTAGCATTTAGCGGGGTTAAGTCAGGCTGCTTTATCTCAACATCACCCGCCTCTCCGGATGATGCCCAAGTGAGTCATTTCCTTTCCTCAGCCCCTGCCAGGAAAGCTGTCACCTTCCTTGGGAGGCAAGATGCCAGCAAGAGCCCTCAGGATGCTGCTGCTCCCGCTCCTGGCCCTGGCTGCAACCTGGTCTCGTAGGTTCCCCTCGACACCACCGCACGGCGCGGGGCAACGGCAGGAGGCACCCCATATTTACGTGTGTGAATGAACAGCAGGCTAAGAGTGTTTGTTCTGTTTTCTCTCCTTCTTTCTAGATGGACGAGCACAAGTGCTTCTGAAACAGAGTCCAATATCCATTACCAAAGGGCTAAATAAAACTGCATGGATTAAGTGTAAAGCCGAGGGCATATCTAACTTCCAGTCTGCATATATACATTGGTACCGACATATACCTTCCAAAGCTCCCGAACGGATTCTGTTTATTGGAGGAGGACAAGCTACTTATGATGACAGCTCCTATAGGAATAAGTATTCTGCTTCGAAGACCAGAGAAAACATCTGTGCTTTCTCAGTCAATGACATCGACTCCAATGATGAAGGTACCTACTACTGTGCCTACTGGCAGTCCCACAGAACTATCAGACCACAGGCAGTCTGTACGGAAAGCTGCCTGTACCCTGAGCAGCAAGCTTTCCGTCAAATGCAGAGAACCACAATTGCACCTTCCTGCCTTTAAAATATCCCAACAGGTTTATGCTGAGTACATAAGTATAAATAACAGACAAAGAGAAAAGCGAAGAAATGCAGTGTGCTACAACTCAGCTGGTATAATGTGCTGTGCTGGGGAAAAGGAGCACTCCTGTGGGTGATGGTATTACAGCTGAGTTAATTATACAGTAACACAGATCATCTTTGAATAACATAGATACTTTCACAAATACAGTGTGAGCTAGCAAAAATGAAGCAATGGCAGGGAAGGAGCACAGGAGGAGGATATTTGCACTGAAGATCTAGCCTGGGAGACTTCAGATCCAGGTCACGATGGAGATACTGGTGATACTCATCACCAATCGCTCCCATTAATGGTTATGATGACAATGACTGCTTTTAACACCGACACTCCTTAGAACCCCTTCTTATAGGCAAGGATCTGTTACACTGGGCAACACCTGATAAGATGGCCCTGAGAAAGGATTGTAAAGACTGTTTACAGGAGAAAGCTGCAATTAAAGCAGGGAACATATGGAAATGGTGACACAGCACTGCTGAGCCAGACACCTGGGAGCAGAGCCACAGGGAAATTTCACTTCTGTGGCAGTAGTATTCACAACCCCATGTCCATGTGAGTGTTTCATGGAACTCAAGTGCACCATTTCATCTGCTCAATGGCAGTCCATCCCCCATCCAGGGTTCATTACCTAAGTTCCTACAGGTCCAGACATCTTCTCTGAAAACATCGTTGCTGCAGGTTCTTCTTGCAGCTTTTGTTTGGCCTTGGAAGATATCTTCCTCTCTGGCTTTCACACTTAAGTGGACTAATAATGAAGACAGAGTCTTCAAGTCAGTAAACTCCATGCTTATGATAGTTTTGTTGTTGTTCTTTCATTGTAGATAGGTCTACACTACAGGCCCTAACACAAATTCATGTATCTTATCACAAGGACAACAGAAGAATATGAACTTTCTCTACTAGCTGTGAGATGAGATTTAGTTGTATAAACTGCTACTGACAAAGACCTAAAAAAAAAAAATCCAGAGTAGATTATCTCTTTGGGGTCAGAAAATGAGAAATCTTTCTCAGGGAAGAGCGTGGTGTGTGGTGGCTGCTGCCCAAGGGACCGTTTGCTATGAAGTCTTTGCAGGGCACATTTTCAGGGCTCTGAAATGAGGGAAAGTACAAGAAAAAGCAGAGGGCAGCAAACAGCTGGCTGGGAGACATGCATGCTTCACCCTGGCTTTGCCATAGCTGCAAGAGCTCTCTTGGAAAAGAGGTGCCAGCTGTATTTTTCCTATCTGCTGCTACAACACTATCATCAAGGAAGGCAGGCACTTGGGCACAGTATGTGCCCAACCACCTTGCTGCCGGCAGGACACTACTGCCAGAGGAACCAGCCCTGAGGAGCTGGAGTGCTGTCCCAGAAGGATGTCTTGGAGACGAACCACATCTGGGATAGATGGATAAGGCTGACCAGAGGGTTTGGAGACATTTTAAGTGAGAGTAAGAGATCATAGTTCACTATGACTTATCCCATTTGTCCTACCAAAGCAGGCAGTATGTTCTAGGAAAGGCTGGTGAAGCATGCTTCTGGGCCAGTTTCGGGGTGTCTGAGGAGAGGAGAACATCCTTGGGAAGGGCCAGATTGAACAATATGAGTTTTTATGTGTGTGCTCAGCAGGTAAATCTGAGAGGAATGTAGTAGACAGATGAAGAAAAATTATTTCACATTGAGTATTTTAGATCCTTTCTACACTGTTACTCCTGTGGTTTAGCTTGTTGGTAAATTTAACCCCCTCAATGCTAGCACATTGAAGAACGACCATTGGATGTGCCAAATGAGTCATTTCCTCCTCCCAGTCATTTGATGCTTTCTCCACATGAAGGTCTTTATAACATTTCTGTCTCTATTTCATTTCCAGGTTTAACATGCACAGGCAGCATGTTGCTTCTTCCAGTCCTTCTTGCAACTTCGTTTTGGTCCTGTAAGCCCTTTTTCCTCTCCCCTCTCTTTCCCATATGCGGACAACACAGTCCTGGCTCCAAACTCCAGTGTTTTCTTCCCCTTACACAATTTCTCCGCTTCCCCTTCCAGGTGGAGATGGACAGGCAGTGCCAGTGCAAACCCCAAAGCTGCGGAGGCAGGTGAAGGGCAGCTCTGCCCGCATGGAGTGCGTAGTGAGCACCAATGCCATCATGCACTGGTACAAGCATCTTTCCGGAGAGCCACCAAAAAGGATACTGTACATGTTGGGACAGTCACCTGTTTTTGATGACAGTGGTGATAGAAGAAGATTTCAAGCTTGGAAACATGCTACTGAGCCCCGTTATGTCCTCACGATAGACTATTTAACCTCGAGGGATTCTGGCACTTACTACTGTGCCTATTGGGTTTATCAAGGCACCACAGCATTAGGCGGGCAAAGATAAGTTGAACGAAAAGGTGCTTTGCGCTCTGAACCGCAAGTTCTGAACTTGCTAAAAATTCAGATACTTCCTTATTCCAGCCCTCTCTCAAGATTCTCTTCAGCAGGATAGGAAAAACAACAGTACCCTGTGACAGCTGTTAAATATATGATGTTAACAATCCATCTATCATTTCAGTACCACACATATCTGTAATATCCAGAAACTGGAGACTTCCAATCACTTTAGGGTAAATATATGAAACATTGCTCTTAAAATGAAAGCTTGATTATACTGAAAGCACTCACCTGACAGTGAACACGGCCAGTCTGTGTGCATGAACAAATGTTAGCTGTAAATTTCTCTTCTCTTCTCTATTAGAATCCTTGGAGCAAGCACAGAAACATATCTTCACCCCCTCAGTGCTTTCTCTTGAAAAAAAACATGAATATAAAAGGAGAGAAGACCAGGTGATCTTGCACATCCTCCGTCTTATTTCTCTTTTGTCTTCCTTTGCATTTCAGTCACTACAAATTCCTACAGCAGCCCAGAAAACCTAATTGTATTGTCACGATTTCTCTCCTGATGTGTCCAGGACAGAACAGAAATCCTTATCCATGGCAAGCAGAGACTCCCAGACCCTTTGGGTTAAGAGTACTGAGTTTTACAAATCAGGTTGTACGATCAAAGACTGGTTCTAGGGAAGCTGGCATTTGCCTGACAGCTAAGTCAGAAAACTGAGATAGTTTTGTGCCACAAAGTTCCTGAATTAGGACAGAGTGCACATGCTCAATATCCTGTGAGATATTCCTCTAATGCATCTGGATCTTCAAAAATGAGCACAAATACCTTCATAGTGGTGGTTTTATGGTTCCACAGGCTCTGAACATTGTTTTTGCTAAACGTTTGGTACAATTTGAGTATATAACACCTTGTTACAGATCTTTCTGGCCTCCTTAGTTATTTGAAAAAATAGGTTGTAGTACATGTGACCTCACATGTTCACTTCAGTCAGCCTCCTTCTCATCCCCCTCAGGGTGGCCTAAAAGAAAATTAAACAGACTTTCCCACAGTTATTTATTGGGAAGAGAGGGACCCATTCCATTACCACCACACAGAAGCAGGTATCTCTCCTTGCCTGCCTCTCCCTGGAGCCCTGTGCTCATGGGCACCTTTCCAAGCCAGTTAGCAACATGTGCTTACTGCCAGCTTGCTGCATGTGGCCAACTGCCAGCAGGAGGGAGGCCGAAGCAGCTCATCTCCCTCATGCCCATTGAGCTGCAGCCCAGGCTCACTGGTCACAGGCAAATGCCCCGTGACACCAGCCCCGCTCATCGAGATGCCCCTCTGCGATGGCTGTTGATGGTAGCCCTCACCAGGCTCGCTTTTGTTTTCCAGTCTTCCTTTCCAAGAAGTGTTTGCATCTCAACTGAACTTTGAAACCGAAGACCTGCGGCTGAGCATTTCCTCCCGCACTCAAAACCAAAGCAGAGTCACATCCCCGCGGTGCAGCTGCCCTAGTCGCTGCAGGCTGACGGCCTCCAGCTGCTTTGATGGAGGGCAGCACCAGCACGGGGGCACCCCGGGCACTTTGGCATGCTGCAGCTGGGTGACTAAGCTGAAGCAGCAAGAGGAGCTCCTTAACAGGATGGGGGAATGCCTCCCACCCACTCAGGCACTGTGCACCAATCTGCACTCCTCTGGGTGATGGCATGCACTCACCGCCCACTGGGTGACCTCCAGGCCGAAACCTTTGCGTCCCAATACACAGCTGGAGCTGCTCTCACTCGCAACCCTTTCTCAGTGGCTCTAGCTTGAGTTTTACAGGGCCACGTTCCTTGGATTTACCAATGGTTTTTGTATTTACCTGAAAAGCAGACAGGACTACAGCCTTCTAACCAACTTTAGCATTTGCCAGTTTGGAGAGGGTTTTCTGCAAATGTGCCCCATCTGCTTGTGCACAGAAGACCTGTCGCTGGAGACCACTCAACAGAGTCACCTCCTCCTCCCACACAACACTGTCCCCATCTGGGGTCCCTTTCACCCTCCTCTGACTCTCAACAACAGCAGAGCGTGACAAGCAATCATGCTGCTCCTGGCAGTGCTTGTGGCCACAGCCACCTGGTCTTGTAAGTCCTTCCTTACTTTCTTATCTTTCCTCACAGGCACCCATGGCTTTGCTAACAGGCATCTTCCCAAATCTCTGAATTCCACTTAATGACATCATTTCTTCTTTTCTCTTTCCTAGGTGGATTTGCACAAGAAATTCCCATGCAGAGGCCTATATCCATCACCAAGTTCCAAAAAACTGCACGGATGACATGTGAAATTCAAACATTAGAGTCAGGTTTTGATGGCACCATCATACACTGGTATCAACAGAAGGAGGGTAAAGCTCCAGAGAGAATCCTGTTGTTTATAGGAGGGGAAACTTCAGTTGAAGGGGGCTTTCAAGCACACAGGTACATAGTTGAAAAAGTTCCTGGTCAGAACCGGTGTGCTCTTACAATAAAAGATGTCATTCCAGACGACGCTGCTACTTACTACTGTGCCTACTGGGGCCCTCACAGTGACAGAAACTCAAAGATTATCAAGGAAAAAAAAAAAATAAAATCTCCCTCAACATCTGAACCACAGGGTTGTAACTCTGCCACTCCCTGGGTCGTCTCACTCCATCTGATATGAGCTGCTGAAAGGTCAGACCTTTTTCTGCTACCCAAAAAGAGCAGCTAACACTGCACAAGTGTCCTTTTCAAAGTCTGGGTCATAATTAGCAAGTGGGTCTTCAAACACACGCCTACCATTTTAACAGCAAAGGAAGTCTTCACTGCCTTAAGACAGCATATAAATACCGCAAACTCACCTGCTCCTTTGGTGCTGTTTACACAGTCATGGCAGAACTCCGGCAGCCTTTGAGGGCAGCAAACATTGCTTTGATTTTCTAGTCCAACCACTGTTGTCCCATAGGAAAGGGAAGGCAGTAAAAGAAAGACAGCAAAGTACCTTGGTGATGGGAATGATATGCCTACCACTGCCTAGCACTTCTAAGAAAAATTTCCCCACTGTAGTCTTCCTGATCTACGTGTAAGCAACTGTAAGTCCCTGGAAATATTGTTTACCTAATGTGGATACTGCAAAAATGCACACGGACCAATTTAAATCAAAGATTTATGGTCTCTTATCTACCACAGCTGATGATGTGTTGCTTATAACCATCCTCTTCTTTCATTTCATGTTAAGGCAAATAGGATAAACAGGGGGTTTTTTGGAAGGAAAGAGGTTTGCTGAAACTGTCAAGTTTGATGGACTTATTTCAAATTTGCAGTTAGTTAGTATAAGGCCCTGGGCACAGCAAGCATTTCACAGAGGAACCTGAGAGGAATAATTTTTGCTTGTGCCTTTAGCCCAGTATGTGCCTACTCATCAGCTTTTCTTTTCCTGCTGAGGGGTGTAATTGGATACCTGAAATGCTGGACCATCACACAGAATGAGCTACGGGAAAGAAGATCAGGCTAGGTGCAAATAAACACTAAACACCAGCAACCTCAGACTTTGAAAGTCTTAAACACAAAGTGAAGTTTAAGCAGGCAAGTTCTCACTGATTTCACTGAATCCTGTTGGTATCTTCAGGGCTATTCAGTGGTGTGATGCACGACTCTCAGCCAGAAGTTGGTACTGTCACATACTGTCTTTATTCATAGGATCTCATGGCAGTTTTCCAAAGAGTTTCCTCTTAGTTCAGTGAATCATCCTTACTTTGTGTTGTTTTCTGCCTTCCGTGTGCAGCGGCTTCCAGAATCCACCACCACTGCACTTGCACTGCTGCAGTCAGCGTTGATGTTTTTCTCAGGGACCATTCCCTTGTAGTCCTGTCGTGGTGTCAGAAAGCTTCCTGAAGCAGACCTCACCTTCGTTGGAGCATGTGGCATCACTGTGCCCATTTTATGATAGTAAAATTGATGTGGACCATTAAGAGACCCATCTTCAGTGGTTTCACCACCTCTAGCACACTCCGGATGTCTCACAGGGGACCAGCACTTCCCGAGCTTCACAACAGCTGCCCATGGTCTGTCCACAGAGCAATGCCCCATGCAGGGGAGAGTCCCTTCCCTTCCCTTCCCTTCCCTTCCCTTCCCTTCCCTTCCCTTCCCTTCCCTTCCCTGACACATTCCTCTGGCTTGACACACAGTGTCACCAGCTCCTACCCAAGGGAGTCCCCTCCTCCTCCCACATGGCATTGCTCACTCTGCACCGGGGCTGATTTCCTTCTCATCTCAGTCTCAACGGCAGCAGAGCATGACAAGCAAACATGCTGCTGCTGGCAGCACTCGTGGCCACAGCCGCTTCGTCTTGTAAGTCCTTACTTATTTTCTTACCTCTGCTCACAGGCACCCATGGCTGTGCTAACAGGCACCTTCTCAAATCTCCAAATTCCAGCTAATAACATCATTTCTCCTTTCCTCTTTCCTAGGTGGATTTGCACAAGAAATTCCCATCCAGAGCCCTACGTTCATCAGCAAGTCTAAAGGAAGTGTACGTCTGCAATGTAACTTTAAAGATGTCTCTGAAGCTTTTGATACCACCATCATACACTGGTATCAACAGAAGGCGAATAAATCTCCACAGAGGATTCTGTATTTTTCAAAGGAAAAAGTAGTAGAAGAGGGTTTCCAAGCACACAGGTACCTTGTTGAAAAGGCTTCTCACCAGAAACTGTGCGTTCTTACAATAAACGACATAATTCCAGACGACACTGCTACCTACTACTGCGCCTACTGGCGCAGTCACCGTGGTAGAAACTCAAGGCTCACCTAGACAAATACTCCCTCAGCGTCTCAACCACAAACAACTTGAAAGATCCCAACTCACTTGCCTTGGTTTGGGTGAGATCCCTGGCCTCAGGTGCAGGCTCTGGAGAAGCAGGACATGCTTGGTGCTGACTGATGCCTTGGAAGCATCAGCTGCCAAAAGCTAGAGATTTCAACTGAGCAAGTGCAAAGTGCAAAGGGAATGG